TACAAAAAAGAAAAACTTCTGAGGAAATTACGTTCGCCTCCCCATTTTCCCGCATGTACGTCTGGAATTTTAATTTTACAAGCCGTGCCAAATGTGTTAGTCCTTACGGCCGCACCCTGCACGCTTGGCAGACGGGACGTTGACTGAACGATGGGCTCTGAAAACACAGGTATTCTCTAGGAGCTAAGTCCTTCGATAAAATTCACGCTTTCAAGCACCGTAGTAGTAGATAATGTTCACCAACTCGGCCACCGACCAATCACAGCACAGGAGGGCGGGGCCAAACACGATCCGACCAATCACAGCAAAGCAGGGCGGGGCTTCTCCCCTCTCTCCCATCCCGGTGACCAATGACAGGCCGTGGGCATTGATGACCACGCCCACAGCGATCACCGACATATTAGGTCCTGTGCACAGGACAATGGCCAGTGACCAATCGGAGTTCATCGAGGTCCCGCCCCCGAGGGACGTACGCGGTATAGGTGTGGTGCCACGTCCGCGGCGAGTGCCAGGCGCGTGCCAGTCGCGTGGGAAAGACACGTATCAGGGGATGTCATCACCAGGTGTTGACATCCGCTGTCATCACCTGATAACAGCCACGCGATCTCACCGAGTTCGAGCTGCATCCAACGGAGGGCGCCAGGGGCTATGGGATTTGGATTGCGGCGCGGGAAGGTTGATTTGTGGGGCGTCAATGCTGCGGTCACGTGACGACAAAGGTCATGTTATATTATTTGAATCGCTGTGCTGTAAATTGGGAGTTTTAGAATCACGCACGCTAAAGTTTGCGTACGCAAAGGGTAGCGTCGTCGTCACTGCGCATGCGCTGAACGCTAACGACGTTTGGCGCTTTGCGTGCTATTTTTCGGAAATTGCGCGCGTACGCGAATAGTCTTTGCGCTCCTCCAAGGAGGATTCAGGACGAGAAGTTGGCTAAAGCCAAGACGAAAATGGTGGCTTACAGGACGATGGCTTTGACCGCTTTGGCGACGCCGTGAGCGCGACGTCGGGAGCATCCTGGCGACTGCGATTTTCAATACGGGACGACATTGCACTCAGTTTGGAAAACCCCGTAAGGTGGGCAACTATCACCGGCAACCTGATGCTTGCGACGCGCGAAGATTTCTCGCCGAAGGTACTACCTTTCTTTTCGAAGCGACGAAAGCGGACACGACCGGTCGACCGCTCGCGTCGCATTCTCATGTTTAAACAAATCTAAAATGTTTCTCTGGACCAAAAAAAAAAAAAAAATCTCGGTTTTTTTTAAGTTACAGCATTTTGTGTGCGAAATAAAAATTGTGACTTTATCATTGTGGTGTCGCAAGTGACAGATGCTTGGGTTTTTGCGTCGCGGCGAAGAAACGCTATTCTAAAACTCTGTCGCGTTGCGTGCGCCAACGCAAGCGCTAAATTTAGCGCTAGCGTGCGCTAAAATGGCGTGCGTTATTCTACAACTCTCTAACGTTTATTCGCTAAAAGGGCTTCTGCGGTGAGATCGGGGAGGGTCCGCTTTCCTGTCAATGGTTCTTGCTTTCTAGGGGATATGCAACCCTATTAATGTAAACAGACCGGAAGGAAAACTATCGTTCGATTTTAAGGGCAAAATTCGGCTTGTGTAAGTATTGATATTCGTCTTTTTTCAGTGTCCTTTGTAGGACATCCCAGAAAAGGTAAGCATCAGGGCAGAAAATAAAACAGTACGCTATAGTTTTCGGCTGGTTACAAAGGCGGGAATTGATTGACCCCGGGACAAAAATTCCACGTTCACGAAGCCAGTGTTTTACAGGTAACGTATAAGTATGGAGCTTAAAGAAGAATGACTTTGCTATAGGCGATACATGTAGTTTTCGGACACTTCTGAGAACATCTTTTCCTGGCCTTCACTATATATGCTTCGGTGCAAAGGTTCAGGGAACGTTATGTCAATCAGATCAGCATACTATAAGACTGCGTGAAACCGTAAATAAATGCTCCAAAGAAATACGAGCTGTTACAAACTCAATCGCGCTCACTACTTCTTTGAAGTATCCCACAGGACGTGATGTGCTTGCGGATATTGTCGTAACCACCAAATAAGGTAATGCACTCGAGAATTTTGTCTGTAAATACGAAGGAAATGATGAGACGCAGTTCTGAAGAATAAAAACCTTGGTATTACCTGCTTTAGAAATATGTGTATGAGACCGAGACCGCCGACATCGTTGGGGCGAAAGAGGTTATCATGCTTTGTAGGTTCCCAAATGGAACTCAATATAAACGTAGCCAACACTCTATGGAATTCTTGAATATAGCTTCTGGTACAGCAAATCAGTTGAAGTATATACCAAAGTTTGGCGGCGAGGAACGTATTGCAGGCCTTAGCTCGGCAAAAAACTGACCACTGGTCAAATGTCATCTTGCCAGCTTGACATTTGATTTTTGATACCCGTTCAGTCCAGTAATGACCATTGTTGCGGATACAGATAAGAGGAACTCCTAACTACTGAGGAGCAATGCAGCTCCACGATATATCGGCATACTCTGAAGGTGTTGTGGCCCATTGCCAACACCAGAAACCTATACTTTTCCCCTTATTAACGATTGCGCCGGTCGCGTCACAGAAGTTTGTGTTATTGTAAGAACATTGTCGACGCTGTGTTTATCGGCACAAAAGAAAGCTACATCGTCAGCATATGCCAATACTTTAACTTCGGAAGATTAAAACAAAAAGCTTCAATGACAGGGTTGTAAAGTACACTTAAACAAAGAAACCCGAAGTAAAGCGAAAATAAAAGCGGGGATAACGGACATCCTCGTTTAATGGTCGATTCTAGACGAATTCGATTTGAAAGTGAACCGTTAACTATAAACCTCGTGGCACAGTTAGGTTAAGATAACTTAATACCTCCTAAAAGTGTTGGTCCTGGGTTTACATGACGTAAAATAGCAAACAGGAGAGCATGGGGCATGCGATCAAAAGCCTTAGCCAAGTCTACTTGAACCATGGCGACTTGACCGGCATTAAGAACGCAATTTTCTGTCACCGTACGCGCAACGTGGATGTTAGTTTGTATACGTCTCCCGCTAATTCCACAGGTCTGGTGGTCTCCAACTTCACATGACGTGACCCACTGTAGTCGTTTCGTTAAAAGTTTAGCAAAATTCTTGTAATCAACCTTGCATAAACTAATTGGTCGATAGCCTTTAGTGCGATCTAATTTCTCTGGGTCTTGAATTTTAGGGAACAACACGGTATGGCGCTCATAAAATGACGGCGGTAAAGTTCCCATCTCATACGCCACCAAAAACACCACAAGTAGGAAAGGACATAGCAGGTCAATATTGACAGATGGATCAGTTGGTACATAATCTTTTTTGACAAAATGCGTCGCGAGACAGGGACAGAGTAAAGGAGACAACACGAAGCGCTACTTTCAAGTATATAAATAAACTATTCTATTCTAAATGTTTATTGAAACGGCACACACCATTGATACACCCAATCGGGCTTCTCAAGCACAAATTCAAATTCCTTGTCTGTTAGATGGACTGTCGGGGCACTTATGCATCTTTCATCCTTCTGCAATCTAATGTTGAATGACTCGTACAACTTTCTCGATATTTTGCTTCTTAGCTTTCCCAGAATTTTTTTTTTCCAGTTCCGGGGCGCAAGGGCATCTATCGTAGTGAATAGCTGAATTGCCCAAGGGGGAATTCCTTACTGATAGCGCGTGCTCTCTTGCCCTTCCATTAACGCATCTGCCCGTTTGGCCCACGTATACCCTTTTCCACATGTCACTGGAATTTCGTACACGACTGAAGATGCGCATTCAACGAATTTCCTAGAGTGTTTCTTTCGGAAAACGTCGCCTCCGTATTTTTTTTTTTTTCGTTTCGGCACAGGCTGGACAGCTATTTCGGGTCCGAAAACACAACCGGCAAATCAAAGTGTGCCGCCACTTTTTTAGGTTGTGTGAGTCCTTGTGGATATTGAGTATAACAGCGGGTCTCACTCTCCTCCTGGGCTCCTGTGCTTCCTCTTCTTTCTTTTCCATATTGGAAACAAGTGTTTCAGCCACCTCTTGAAGAAACCGATCAGGGTAACCTACAATTTTAGGCGTTCCACCTGGTTGCAGAAACTAGTTTTCACGGTATGCTGGCACGATTTGGCAAAAGATGCCTTCAAAAGAGAGGAAGCGATCTATCTTTTAATCAGCTTAGTGTGTGTTGAATTAAAGGCAACGTGATGGCCAAGCCGATCCACCTCTCCTCCACGCGCCCGAAATGCCGAGAGAGAAAAGAAGCAAAAAGAAGGAGACTACCGACTAAATCGCGTCTCGCGCCGTCAATATTGCTCTAAAAATTTCTTTTTGCGTAAAATAATTCTTCGACAGGCGTGTCCCAACCAGACTGTTTAAATTTTTTTTTTCTTTTCAGGAGCCTGTTATTACTTTGCGATTCATCGTTAGCAGCTTGGTGACTCGTAGCAGACGTTGCTCCTCACGCCATCCGACCCAATTACTTATTACTTACAATTACATCGATTACTTATTACAGAATTCAAATGCAGCTCAGGAGTGTTTAGGTACTTAGCATACCTTTCGCAACAAAACAGAGTGAAGACAAGTTTTAATTTAAAATGCTTAATCCTCGAGATGGATTCATCGCTCGTTTGATTTGAAGAACGCAGTTTGAAGACGTTATACATTTCCAAGCATTTAGAAAGACACATGCGCACGACATGGAGTAAGTAAGCAGTTGGTGTTACCAAAGGCCCTACTATGCGGCAGTACACCGATTACGAGGAAACTTGTGCCGCTTAGGAAGATTGATTATATTTGTGCCTGAGTCAAAAGAAAATATCGATGCGGGACAGAGGTGCCTTCTTTAGTATCGATCCTCCGAGCCTGCAAGGGAATGGGACATTTCAGCGAACAGTGAGGATTAATAAATGATTATCACATTTTACAACATATCTGCAAAACCTGATGAAAGAAAGAAGCAATCACAAAGACAACGTGTGATGGCTTGTTTGCAATCTTTACTTAGGACGGCTTTCTTTGTACACAAAGTTCATCTTTTCTCTGCCGTTCGTTTATTTTTAATGCATTCAAAGCAGACACAAATACGTAAAGCAAACGTTCTTGAGTATACATAAGTAATGACATGAATTGTTCGGGTCAGTACACTCTAGTCAAAACGATGTCTTGCTCTGCAGGAGTCAAAAACAAGTTGGAATTAATTGCCGCTATTGGGGTGTCCGATTTCCCCGCCGGTGCGCTGCAGCTGACACGCTGCATAAAGCGCACCAGGACGTAGAACATGTCCACATGTGCCAGTTTTTCTCCTGGACACGTCCTGGGACCCAGACCGAAAGACATCAGCTGGGGCAGAAGTTCCTGGTTCACCTTGCCCGTGACAGGGTCCAGGAATCTTTCCGGCCTGAAGACCTCGGGTTCTGGCCACAGCTGGGGATCACGGTTCATGGTGTAGATGTTGTAAAAGATGCCAGTGTCCTTGGGAATGAACTGTCCTCCTGTGTTCGCATGGAAATGAATAAAAAAATAATTACGCTTTGTAGCCTTTTCATCTGGCAACGTCAATGTAGACTTTCATTAATGGGTTTAATAAACGCCATTTCGTTGAACTGCGTTCAATTATTTACACACTTAACACTCAGTCCTATTGAAATATGCGCTGTTGTGGAGAGCGTACGCGGAGAGCCCACACAACTTACTTTCAACGGTGGATAAAAAAGCGTGGATGAGGGCACACCGCAGCACTTTTCACCAGCTCATTATTAATATTTTTGTTTATACATGCCTTGTGGGTGACGTAATATGGCAGCGTAGCAGCCGCCATTCCTCCGTACCACGCTCCTGTGCCCGCACCTTCTGCGGTAAACATTTGGCACCATCGAATTTGTTCTTTTGGGCAAGGATCGTCGAGAAGAAGTTCGGTGGTGCCAAGGAGCATGGTACAGAGCAATGGCAAAAGCAAGCCATGTATAGCTAAAGCTTTATCATTAGCGATAAATATTTCGCTTCAAGTGTAGCGATTTAATGTAGTAATGTAGTGCCACTAAGGCGACCATTGCGGCTCACATAGTGTTCCACGTAACGTGATATGAACCCCCCAGCGTAATTTGAAACACGATTTCGAATGTTTAGAGAAGAAACACACTCCCGCATAATTCAGCGCTGGAAATCAGGAGCACATCGCTATACGAGCGGGGACCCAAAAGCAACAAGAATGAATTTCTGGAGGCTATAGTGGCGAAAGCTGCTACTGCGAACGGCTTGTTCGTAGTACCAGCTTCTGCCACTAGCACACTTAGCGGCACCACTTCCGAGTCAGCTTGCCGATCGGCGTAGTCTCCTAAAGTTCTAGCGGCATGTTGGGAATTTTTTTCTCCAAACGCTTCAAACTTATTCCTCGTTTTTTTTTTTTTGCAATCATTCTTCGTTTTTTTTTTTTTCAATATCTGATTTGATGAAACAGCGTGCGGCCGTGACATTCTGTTTTCTTTTAGGGAAGATGGTGGCGGAAACTTGCACTGCTTCAGACAGCTTGCAAAGAAGATGCTATGAAGAAATCGCCGGTCTACGAGTGTCGTTTTCCCTTCAAGGCCGGTGAATTACCGATCGACGACCAACCTCATTCAGAACAACCCTCCACATCTTCAGCTGTTGAGAACTTTGATTAAGTTCGAAGTTTTGTTTTGCCAGACCGTCCGAGAACAATTGAGGAACTTGCTGAACTGAGTGAAGTGTCCTTGAGTTTCTGCCAACGCAATTTGACTGACAATTTTAACGCAAGTTTCAACGAAATTTGTGCCTATTTGCTGACTGCTGATGAGAAAAATTTCCGGGTAAATGCTTCTCGCAGCTTAAAAGACATTTGGAAATTAACACAAATTTTCTTTTCAAAAGCTATCACAGGTGATGAAAGCTGGTGATACGGTTAGGGTCCTGAGACAAAGCAACAGTCAAGTCAGTGGAAGAGATCCAGTTCGCCACAACCCCCCCCCCCCCCCCCCCCCCCCACAAAAAAAAAAAAAGCGCGTCAGGTCAAGTCAAGTGTTAAAACGACGCTGCTTTGCTCTTTTGATGCGAGGATCATTGTTCACTCCGAGTGTGTTCCTCCTGATGAAACTGTTAATCAGGTGTTTTACCTAGGAGTTTTGCCACGTTTGCGCAACTCAGTGATGCAGAAGCTCCCGGATTCGTGGGGTTCTATCACGACAATGCCCCAGCACACACTGCCCTGTCACCCTGTTAGTGCAACAATATTTGAACAAAAATGGCATTACACCGCCCCCCCCTCCCCCTCCCCAGCTATTCACCGTACTTCGGCCCGCATAAAAATTTTTCTTTTCGCCCGTATGATCAAAGTTACGAAGCGGAAACGTTTTGTGGATGTGGAAGAGGCCAAACAAAAAACGAGGGAGGCATGGAAAGGCATTACCTTGCATGAGTTCCTGAATTATTTTTTAAAGTAGAACACACTTTTGGATCGAAACATTTACGCAAATATAGACTACTTTGCGGGTGATTAACGTGGCAAATTGTAAAAAAAAAAAAAATAAACAAATATGTTTTTATTACAACATTCCAAAAATTTTTAAGTCCCGCCTCGTACTACAGCGAGCCGTAGTATGAAACTAGACTCACCAACTTCTGTGTCGCATGTCGTGTTATGCGGGAGGCCTAGGGGAACGATGGGGTACATGCGCAGGGTCTCCAAGAGGCAGGCCACTGTGTAGTGTAGCTTTCCTCTGTCTTGCATTCCGGGTCGAGCTTGCCCTGTTTCAGAAGATTGAGAGATGAAAATGCTACCGCGCACTCAGTACAAAGTGTGCAACTTTGGTGCAGCTTAAGTCACTGGAGTTCAACCGACGCTACCGAGCGGCTGGATTAAATCCAAAGAACACCAAAATTGCTACAACACGGCATTCATAATCTTGTTGGGCGTCTGCATTCAAACCTGCTAAATCAATCAGATGAAAGGTATAATCCCAAACCTTGCGCATTTATTGTATATGTCCGTATTTGTACAGGACTTGACTTACTCTCTTCGTGCTTGTTTTGTGACTTCTACGGTCTTATAATCTAATATCGGAATCCCATCGCAGCGATAGAAAGATGCACGGGGCACTCCACGCACTAGGTTTCATAAATAGATTGTCTGGTGAAAAATGGAAGTTCTTAAGGAGTTGTGATGGTTAGCTGGCGGGAACTTAAAGCGCCGTTCACACACTTGCAACCGAATAGGACCGAGAGAGACAAGACCGGTTTTAAGCCTCTTGCGACGGCGGAGAACCGGATGCGCTGCTGCCGAGCAGGTCCTACGAAGTCGCAAGAGGCTTCAAAACCGGTCTTGTCTCTCTCGTTCGTACTCGGTTGCAAGTGTGTGAACGGCGCTAAATAATTAACATGGGTCATTTTTTATTTTATTAAATGACACCCAAATGTAGTCTAATCAATGACGGATGATTATACGAAACTCTGTGTCAAAGTTTGCAAGTATCAATGGCTGCGCTCAAATGCCTCGTGTGACGTCACACCAGGCTTGCAATTGTCAGATCCTATGCCTGAATCCTCCGTGGGAACACAGTGCTCCCGACGCCACCTCGGCGTTCCATTTTACTCGCAACTGTGAATCTCGCGGAGAAGTGCGGAGTGTGGCCACCGCACAACGATAGTCCCCTTTCATTCCCAACAAATTTGCCAGAGCAGCAACGACCGTAAACCACGTCGTAGAACTCACGCGGAAAACAAACTTCGAAGGTCGCTTCAGTTCGGCGCCACCTTTGCGTTACGATACACCAGAGCCTCCGCTGCTCCAAAGTTGGATGACGAAAACGCAGTTTATGCACGCTTGGTTTAAAATACAATTACTCGTTCAGGGAAGCAGACAAAATTCAGGTCTGTCGCGGAAGATGCTTCTACACTTACAGCCATTGGCAATGAGGTCTAAATGTTTTCTTGAATACTGAAGTTGACCGGACAATTTTTTTAAGCTGTCAGTATCTCTATGCGCCCAGAAAGTGAGGAAGAGGAGGAGACAAGAGAGTGCGGGGACGCCAGGACGCCGAGCTATGGCTGGAACGTTTAGTGGGTAGAGCGAAAGCTAGTAGCTTTGTCTCCACTCCACTGGTGGCACGCGTTAGAACGCGGAACGCGGCGTCCGGCGGTTGACTTTCGCATTGGAACGCGTTCGACCAGTGCAGTGGAGAGAAAGGCAGCTATAGACCGTTTTGTCGTGGGTAGCGCCATTTTGAGAGCGAAAGAGAAAAGGGGAAAGGCCTACGGCGCTTTCCTCCTTTCTGATTGTGTAGAAAGAGTGGAAGTCCCGGATGAGAGGCCTGGCCGGTGTTGGGCGTCTGCAGTGCCCCAACTTCGTTCGCGCTTTTTTTTACGTTTCAAACTCCCAAACTTAATTAGAGTCATGGTCTTCGATGTCGACAGTCCCCCGGTCATCGGGGCACCATTGCTGGGTAATAGGGTGCACGAATAACGACAGAAAGCGTCGAATACTGTCCGAGGACCTATGTAGCTTGCATGAAATCTGGCAAGGCAAGTACGGCTGGAATGTTTTTAAACTCCATTGTTTTCCGCATGACTGGAAATGATGAACCATTTATACATTTTTGCTTGCAATGGCCTATTTCAACGTAGCCGCTTTTAGTTGTAATCAACAAGTTATACAAGAAACGGGAACCTCAATTAACTTTGTAAACGCCCGGAGCTGCTACATATCGTCTTGCTCAGCTGTTTTGATCTTCGTGTCCCTGTTCTTATATTTCCTTGTGAATGAACGACGAAGACGCTCCAGATGTACTTTTATCGAACCACAGAAAGCCTCGAAGCAGCCACGAATTATCTTACTATTTGATGCAATATTTTGGGTACTCACCTCCAGTTTCTATAGCTGGCGCGTTTGCTGCCGCTGTTCCCCCCGTCGCCACACTGGCGGCTGCCATGACCCACACAAAGAAACGTGCACACTGGGCTCCAAAACGCAGATCGCAACACACGAGACGTTCCCTGCAGCGACTATCAAGCGCCTCAAAGCGCCTTAGTCAACGGAAACAACCCACCAGCGGCACTCCAAGGACGCTTTTGCCGGCTCCCTGGTATCGCGCAGAAGATCGCGATTAGAAAAAAACAACAATAGAAATACGTTTTCAACAATTTCCAGCCTCACCCGGGGGCGGAAATGAGCCTTCATCTAAGTGTTGTAGATGATAAAATCGAGTCAGTCACCACTGCAAATTATCGCTATTAATATAAATTCAGTTACAAAATTTTACAAGCTGAAACAGCAGTTATCATGAGAAAACTCGCACGCAATTTTGCGAGCGTACCCCATGTTCATCGGCGGTACAGCGTTTGGTGCGCGCTCCACTCACGAAATGTTCCGAGCGAAGTCGAGAGGATGGCGTTGAGGAGACGCCTTTTCGGTTTACGGAAGCAATCCACTGCCTCCGGAGACAGGGGTCATGTGGAATGCGATGGAGCTCAAAGACATTGCAGCCGCTCTCGCCTTGCTGGATCCTTTGCAAGCTACATACGTCCTCGGACAGTATTCTACGCTTTCTGTTTTTATTCGTGCACCCTATGACCCAGCAATGGTGTCCCGATGGCCGGGGGACTGCTGCCATCGAAGCCGTGGCTCTAACTAAGTTTGCGAGTTTAAAACAGGAAAGAAAGCGCGAACGAAGTTCGGGCACAGCAGACACCCAACACCGGCGAAGCCTCTCATCCGGGACCTTCACTCTTTCTACACAATCAGAAAGGGGGAAAGCGCCGGTAGCCCTTTCCGCTTTTCTCTCTCGCCCTCTTTCAGTAAAACGGTCTATAGCTTTCGGTCTACCCGCTAATCGTTCCAATCAGAGCTCGGTGTTTTGACGCCCACCCCCGCGCGTTCTCGCCTCCTCTCCCTCGCTTGGAAAAGAAGGAGACGAAAGCAAACAGTTGTCACGAGGAGATCACATGCACGTAGAATGGGTAAAGTTTCAGTTTAGACCAATCGGGAGGAGATGCTTCTTTACATGCTTTCGGTTCTTGTTCCCTTTAGTAACGATGTGTAGAAGCGTATATCTTCTGAGAGACACAAAATGGTCCGCTGAAAGCAGTCGCAAGAAGACAAAGGGGTTAGTTACCCAAGTTTCTTTCTATTTCTTCCTTTATTCTTTCCTGTATCTCTGGCTTTCTGGTCATCGTCAGACATAACCACTGCAGCTCTCCCAATGAAGTATCCGTTGCAGCTGAAAAGGTAATCAATAACAGGTTTATATTGAATAATGCCGAAATGTCTCGAACTGATAAGCATATATGGGATATAGCTAACTCTAACTTGGACACTCTTGCGACTAATAAGCTTTTTTTTTTTTTAGATGACTCCTCAGCCGGATGTCATATTTGAAGAAAATAGATTTAGTGAGTGCAATGAAGCTGCTCGTATGTGATCTTAAGTAGGAATTCAGTAGTGTAGAAATTTCAATAAAACTTGTTTCTACTATCTACAGTTCATGTTTAAACTTTCTTTACCAATGTGCGAATTGAGTTTTAGAATTTGCGACGCAATGAGCATATTTGCAATCAAGATCACCATTACATGGCGACAAATATGATTTGATCGTCCATCAATCATGGATATGTCACATGCGTGTATCAGCATAAGCTTTGTTTGTACATAACATTAAATATATAGGTTCTTATTTTTTTATACACCTATGTGCAGAAAGTAGATATGTCTTATTCACCTCCGAAGATGTCCATAATAATCTGGACCATGTTGGCTTCGGTGAGGTACTGAGCGTCGTTCTTTTCTTGCTCAATGGCTTCGTCTCTCGCTGCCAACATGGAGTGCGTGAAGTTTTCGATTTTGCCTGAGAGAATGTAAAAAAAACAAAAAAAAAAAACATCTTCGTACGTTTCTTATTTAACGCACAAAGTCACTTCACTGACTCCGTTCCTTTCAAGCCCCTATTTTGGCCGAAACCTCGTCAATTTCCATCATCACAAAACATTAAGCATCGCCGTTAAATAACAAAAGAAACTGTTCAATGTGCTTAAAATATTCTCACGAACAAATAACAAAAATGCCTTATAAGCGCAAAGTGTGCAAATATGCCCGCGAGGCGCTGTAAATGGAGTAGATGGATATGCAGTTGATGGTTGATGCACTGCGTTGTGTCTGCCCTCTTCGATTTATGTATATCAATATATAGAGCTTGGTTTCCAATGGGACATTAGAAAATATATCATAAGCTTGTGGTTGCCATCCACTGAGCATTCTTAGTTTTTTTTTTATTACTTACCAGTGTTGTGGTGGTTTGTGAAACACGTACATTCATCTGATGCTCCGAGATATTTTGGGACATGCGCACTGTATTAAGAACGCGTCTAAAATTATAATTTTAAGGGAACTGCATCTCCCAAGTATTGAAGCGTGCACACTAAGAGAAAAAATTACGTTGCACATTGGAACGTAACTTGTTGCCCCTGCGTTGGTTTTTGTAGAACGGACTTGAGACCAAAGAACGTCAGTGGTTCTTAAAGCTACCAGTAGTCACGCTACAAACTAACTTGATGCACATTTCAGAAGTTGCTACGTGAAACATCTGCGGGCGATACAAACGAGTGGAAACACACACTCAGGCAACGTAAAAATATGCCCCTTACTTGGAACGTCAACAGGACAAAAACTACAACTCATGTTTCTGGGAGACATACACGAAAACAAGGACTATGCTATAGAAACATTTAGCAGATTATTTACCCATTACAATGTCGATACCTTATAGTTCGCAAACACCAGTGTGTATGCAACGAAGTTTGCAATGATACCGCGCACCCCTGAGCATGCAGGTACTAGACATAGCTACAGTAATACAAAAGCTATCTACTAAAGCTCCCAAACACATTTAGGTAACTAGGCAACCAGCCTAATCTGCAGATGATCCTGTTCTTTTTGTCATTCGATTACGTCACTGAGAACGTTTTATATTCCACGCTCAGCTATCCCGAATTGATTGCTGGTTGTATTACATATTTGTAGCTATACTTTTGTTTTGCTTCGAAATGAAGCATTACTGAAAGGTCGCATGCTTTGAAAAAACAAACAAAAAAACGCAGTTGAATTTGGAAAGGGATAGAGAAAGTTAAAGCGAATCTACAATTATATTTTCGTGAATTTCGCGTCTAGGCATAGCATACCCTTTTTACCGGTTCTGCAAATGTTAAGAATTTGTGACCATGTAATATGTCAATCATATTTCGATGATTGTGGTATAATAAACACGAGGTTTGGGGTTTTTAAGTACCTAACCAATGAAAGGGCATCCGTTCGCATGTGGTGACGTGCAACCAAAGCCTCAGTTGCGCAACGTTCTCCTCAATAGTTCTCCGTCATATAGCGGGACCCACGGGCGGGATTCGAACCCGTGAACTGGGGTTCCGTTGGAAAACGCTTTGTCTCGGAACCACTGGGGCAAGGTGGTTATCACTAGGGTGTAGAAAATGCCGCCAATTAAAAATTAAAAAAAAGAATAAATAAAAGCTAGCGTACCGGGGACGTATGATTTCACAGCTCGTTTGTACAGGCTATCAAGTTTGTCAAGAAATTCCTTGAAAAGAATCTCAATCTTCTTTTCACGCCCTCGGTAAAGTAGACCCAGCCACGGCACAATGTCACTTGGCAGTCCATTAGGTGCTAATTCGAAGAAGATTTTGTTAATGGCTTGCATCTTAGTCAATTCTGGGCTTTCTTTATCAAACCTGAAACAGAAAATATATGAAATGGATGGAGATACAACGGGTGATAATCAAAAAAGTGTAGGAACATTAAATATAAAGATATCGTTATTACACACAGGCTTAACACGTAAAAAAATTACACCTACATTAATGCGGTTTGTGAAGGTGGGTTATACGGACAGGGGGGACATAGTATAAGAAGATAATCGTAATAATCACCAGGCTAATTTAGTGAAAAACGTTAAATAACGTTATATAAACATGTGGTTATAATTAAAAACTTGCTGAGCGTCATCAAAAACCACTAAATCAGTCAACATTAGAAATACTTTGAGGCAGTGGGAAGCACGGCGGGGCTCTAAAGTTTGTGCAACAGGAGCAAGGCTGCATGTGCGTCCTTCCATGGCAAAGGAGACGGCAATTTTCGTTATATTTTGGATATGCTTGAAAAAAAAATGAATAGAGACTCGTCTGAAAGTAAAGATGGCTAAGTTTGAGGGCTGAATCACGTTTATGTTTGCTGACGTCATGCCCCAAAGTTCGGGGAATGAAAGAAAACGTTCTGTACTTCGACAAATTGCTTGAAGAAAGCTATTCTTAACATATAATTTTAAGTTTGCATGCAATCGAGAATATATTCTATATTTTCTCGAAAAGAAAACGCCTTACACAGCCATTTTGGGTTCAGACAGGCACTCCAAACCTAAGCAAATATAGTTAAGATTTCTTGATTTTTTTAGTCAACTTGAAATTAGAATTTGACTGAAAAGTTTTTTTTTACTTACTTTTTTTCTGAACCTTAGGCTCGACTAGGTTGCATTACAATTGTAAAAACAATATTCTGACAATTTTTAATTAAAAAGTGAATTGTCGCTTTTTTTCAAAAACGACCATAAAGAGGAAAAAAACATGTGGGCAACGGTGCTCGCAATTTTATAAATAGGCGAAAGTTCAACTGGCCCCATCATTTCGACAAGTAAAAAAAAAATTGAAAAGTATTTTTTGTTATTTTCGAGAAATTATTTTTTTAAATAGGAGGCAGAACGGGCGTCGCCTCCAGGCGGCCATCCGTCGGCAACGCACGCCGTCGTCTGCTACGGTCTAGTGAAACACTGCACGTGGTAGTTAATTTCGTTAATTCTATTTGTATAGCTAATGCTGAGAATCTTGACATTGACATGTCTATTTATAGTGACTAGAAAGTGCATCTTTTTTGCTCTAAACATTATTTCTTGGTGTGCTTGCAAGTTGAATATGGACAACTAGAAATATTGTTTGGGATACTTTTTATCAAAGGCAAAACAAAGCACATCTATAGCGCACCGGTGTTTTTTTCTTCTTTTGTACATAAATATAAAATATAGTCCAGAAATACTATATCCCATTAGAATATCAGTGTTTCATTAGCTTTCAGTTCATGTGATAGGCTAGAACACTGCGCACGTCTCGAACGTCTCCGGTATGATTCGTCTACTGCAATATCTTTGAATTCGCACGCAGAACTCTTCCTGCACGCAGGATGTGGGTGCTACTTTAGCTACCACGTAGTTTCCACCTCAAACACTGTATGAACAACATGGGTCAAGCTGTTACAGACCTGCCACACAACCAACAGGATGATCTTTGTCGACGGGGAAAGAGGCTCAAGTCTACCTTCACGGACATTTGCGCACATCATTTTTAGATGTACTTTTCTAAGTACACAACCCACACCACTTCCAACCGTGGCGTGGACCCCTTCGCGAAACACAGAAGAACAAGCCGGGGAACTTCTGTTATTTCTAACACTTTGGCGCAAAGGCTGACATCCCTCGGCTTAGTTTCTGGTGACGGGTTATGTCCCGAATGTTACATGAGGTGTAGAAGTCTGAAAGAGGCATCTGAGCTTGACGGCGACAGAGCAGCTCAAATGTCATCCTGGGAAGATGTTGCGGATACACCTTATACAGCCCCACAATAGAGGCCTATGGAAGCAGAGAGCGTCCCGCAGAGGACCGCGAGAGCCCTAAGCCATCTAAGTGCAGAAGTGCGGATTCGAATCCGTGCGTAGATGCCAGTACAAGTGTCTATCCGAATATGTTACAAACTAATATTCCTGTAGAGGACAAATCAATGTTGCGCGATTATAAGTCTTTGTGCGTAGCATGCGAGAAACATTTCAAAGCTCGAAGTGCAGACAAGAAAAGCTGTTAATTCTAGCACTATGCCCGCCATCTTGGACAATATCTGAAACTAGTGGATATTTTGGTTGCGGCAAGAAGATAGTGCGAACTGCCAAACGACTCCGAGAAACGAAAGGAATTCTCGAAAAACCCGATCCACAAAAAATCGTCCACATAGACAAGTGGAGGCCTTTTACCAACATGACAGGATATCGCACGGTCTTCCTGGGATGAAAAACGTCCTAAAAATCAAAAGTGGCTTTTTTTTTCCTGAATTTAAAGGAAGCATTTATTCAATAGAAAAAGAAAAATCCAGACCTGCCAGCCCCCTTTTCAACCTTCGCCTCTCTGCGTCCCCCCTGGTGTGTATTATCAGGCTCAAGTGGCACACACTCTGTGTGTGCGGGTACCATCAAAACGTCAAGCTTATGTTGCATGCATTGGAAAAAAAAGAAAAAAAGAAACTGTGGTGAGCTTATGGTTTTGACTTTTTGTTCAATCGAAGAAGAGAGCTACATGACGGACACCTCCTCGAGATGCCCAGGGCCGGAACCGCTAAAACGTTTTCTCCAAAACAAGACTCCCGAAGACGACGAAACAAAGTACAAGCGGTGAGTGCACTCGGACAGGTGCCTGCTCGTGACAGTTCTATCGAGTACCGCAGAAGTAGTGGGAGAACTCCTCGAAAAGCTGGAGAGCTTGAAATGTCATCACTATGGGAGTAAAACTCAGCCAAATTATCTTATGTTTTTGAAATCGCCACTTCCACCAACCGAGGCACCTGTCATCATGAACTTTGCAGATAACTACAGCTCCATCGTTCTGGATGCTGCCCAGTCCTTCCATTTGAACAGCACTCAAGCGACACTTCATGCTGTTGTTGCCTACACTCGAAGCATGAAGGAAGGAATTGACTCCTAGATTACACATTTTTTGCGTGGTTGTGTCCGACTCCCTTCAACATGACAACGTGGCAGTGCATGCATTTCAACATCACTTTCTGCATGAACTCGGAAAACAAAAGTCAGACCTCGCCAAAGTTCATTATTTTACGGATGGCGCTGCTTCTCAGTATAAGAACAGGAAAAACTTCCTTAACCTCTGCTTTCACAAGGAAGACTTCGAGTTGGAAGCGACGTGGCACTTTTTGGCCAGGTCTCATGAAAAAAACCCTTGTGGTGGCTTAGGCGGCAGTATAAAACGGCTGGCTAACAAAGCTAGCATTCAAAGGTCATTTGACAATCAGATCATCACAGGACGAGATCTTTATGAATGGGCAAAGGCTTCGATTAAAAATGTGAACGTTATTGGTTCCAGATAGCGTCGTCACAACTGAGAGAGAGAAATGCAAAGACTCAGCAACAGCTATGAGCAAGCAAAAGCCACACCAAAGACATGTCAAAACCATTATGTGGCGCCTGTAGGGCAAGGGCATGTGGTAGCTAGAATGACATCCACATCAAACGTGCAGGAAGAGTTCTCCGTGAGATGCTAACGAAATTGCAGCAGATGGACTATACCGGTGATGTCCCAGACGTGGGCAGTGGTCTAGATTATAACGTTGTATGAAAGCCAATAAAACACTGATATTCTAAATGTGATATAGTATTTCTGGACTATATATTAAATTTAAATACATAAGAGAAAGAAACACCGTAAGCTACAAATGTGCGTTGTTTGGCTTTTGATAAAAAGAATCCCAAGCAATATTTCGAGTTTTCGCTGTTCAACTTGCAGGCGCACCCGTACATATTGTTTAGAGCAAAAAATTATGCATCCTCTAGTCACTATAAATAGACATGTCATACTTTCAAGATTTTTACAGTAAGCTATACAAATATAATTAACGAAATTAGGTACCACGTGCAGTGTTTCACTCGACCGTAGCAGACGATGACGTGCGTTGCCGACGAGGTGGGCGCCTGCCGATCTGCCTCCCATGAAAAAAAAAAAAAATATATATATATATATATTTTCTCCAAAATAACAAAAAGTGCCTTTCAATTTTATTTTTATATGTTGAACAGATGGGGTCGGTTGAACTTTCGGCCATTTCCGAAAATGCGAGCACCGTTGCCCACATGGCTTTTCTTTACCCCCTATTCGAGGACTGGAAGGTGGGGAAGGTGATTCCGGTCCATAAAAGTGGCGATAAATCTAGCCTGAGTAATTATCGTCCGATTTCATTAACGAGCATCCCCTGCAAACTTCTGGAACACATAATTTATTCTCATCTTGTTGCTTTCCTTAATTCTAAGTCTTTTTTCACCCCGGCTCAACATGGATTTAGGAAACTATTTTCGTGCGAATCTCAATTGTTAACACTTACTCACAATCTTCATGTCGCTCTTGATCGTTCTTCCGCGGTAGATTGTGTATTTTTAGACTTCTCAAAAGCATTCGACAAAGTTTCACACCGGCTTCTTCTTCATAAACTCACTGTCCTTAACATAGAACCCCATATTCTTGCTTGGATTGAGTCTTTTTTAACTAACCGCTCACAATTTGTTCATGTTAATGGCTGCAACTCAGATCATTCACCAGTAAGTTCAGGCGTTCCCCAAGGTTCCGTACTAGGTCCTCTTTTATTTCTTATTTATATTAATGATTTACCTACTCATGTTTCTTCATCCATTGGCTTATTTGCAGATGACTGTGTCATCTACAGGGAAATAACCAATGATTCTGATATTCATTCTCTTCAGTCAGACCTTGACAGCATTTCCCGGTGGTGTGACTCATGGAATATGAAACTTAACATTAACAAATGCAAATCCATGAGAGTATCACATCAAATGAACACATGCCATTCTTACAATATTAGCGGCGTTGTCCTTGATTCTGTCTTATCATATAAATATCTCGGTGTGCATATAACAAATAACCTCTCCTGGGATACTCACATTCAATACGTAATCAACAATGCAAACCGCATGTTAGGCTATCTTAAAAGAAACTTCTCTCTTGCTTCCACCTCTTTAAAACTACTTCTTTACAAGTCTTTGGTTCGAAGTAAACTTGAATACGCCGCAGCTATATGGGACCCTGGTATAACACTTGCGTCATCACTTGAAGCCATTCAAAACCGTTCTGCTCGATTCATACTGCATAACTATCACCGAACATCCAGCGTATCAGCAATGAAATTCAATCTCTGCTTACCTGATCTCTCTCTTCGCAGGAAAGTGTCACGCTTGTGCTTATTTCACAAGATCCATTATCTTAACACGTCAATGCGCCAGCTTTTGTTAATACAACCGTCTTATATCTCATCGCGCGTCGACCATCGATATAAAGTTGGCATTGCTCACTGTCACACATCACGTTTTTTTCAGTCTTTTTTGCCCAAAACGTCACTGGACTGGAATCGCCTTCCCGCAGCTGTAGTCGAGATTGCCGAGAGCTCTGATTTTCGAATTGCTGTCTACAATTATTTTTTGCATCCTCTATAACTCCCTTGTTAAGTGAATTTGTTTGTGTATATATTGTTTCAAATTATATTTTTGTCCTGTTTAACTCACTAGTTAGGTATATTTCTTTTGTTTGTATATTGTTGCTATGCCCACCCCCCTTCTGTAATGCCTTCGGGCCCTGAAGGGTATCAATAAATAAATAAATAATAATAAATAAATATGACCGTTTTTGAAGGAACATATTCACCATTTAATTAAAAATTGTCCGAATAATGTTTCACGATTGCAATTCAACCGAGTTGAGCACAAGGTTCACAAAAATAAGTAAAGAAAAAAGCTTCTTAGTCAAATTCAAATTTTAAGTTTACTAAAAAAAAAGCAAGAAATCTTAAAAATTTTGCTTAGGTTTGGAGTGCCTGTCTGGACCGAAAACGGCGGCGTAAGGTGTTTTCCTTTCAAGGTAAGATATAATATATTAGTGCTCGATTGCATGCAACTTAAAATTATGTGGTAAGAATAGTTTTTTTTCAGTAATTTTTCGGAGTACAGAAGGTTTTTGTCTGATTCCCCAAACCTTAAACCATAACGTCAGCAAAAAAAAAAAAAAAAAAAAAACACAACGAAATTTTAGCCTTTTAAGTTAGCCAACCTTATTGTCAGACGTATCTTCATTTATATTTTTTTGTTTCAACCATATCCAGAATATGACGAAAATTGCCGTATTTTTTGCTATAGAATGACTCATGTGCGATAACGCGACCGAACGGGTTTTCCGTCTCTTATCAATCGCGTTTTCTCGTCCCAGCTTCTTGCTCGTTGCACAAGTGTTCACTTTTTCAGCGCACTACCACGCTTCCCAGGCGCTTAAAGACTTTAAAAAAATACTGATTTAATAATTTTCGATGGCGCCCACCAAGTTTTTTTATAGTTGAAACCATACGTCTATTCTAACTGATTAAAAAGCTAACACATTTTAAGACCCCTCTATTACGTGCCCCTGGCGGCATAACTCACCTGCACAAGCCGTATTAGTGTAGCTTTCACGGCTTTTTTTAAACAAATATGGTGAACTTGAAAAGGAAACACCCCGTATACATGCGCAGGGATCATGTTTAAACAAATGTGAGGTTGTATTCATTTATTGTCAATTTAAATTATCGCATATACCGGCGACTCCAGTTAATGCATCGTGATTCCCAGCAAATACTCCGCTCAATATCTACAGCTCTATAGTTCGAAACTAATAAATGTCGACTGATTTGTTCTTCCTCTTTTTAAGAATTCTGTAAATTAAAAATGAGTAGTCACGTCATTGTTTAAAACCTTTCTGTGTTTGTGGTGTTCAAAAACGGGATTTTTGGCATGTTGCTTTTTTGCACTCCTCAAACATATTTAGAAAACGACAACTTAGAAGTCCATGCTTAAAAATCTCTGAAACAGCGGAAAAGAAAGTTTGTTTTCAGGTATAAATGTTTACCAGTTATAACCCTTGTTTTTGCAACTTAGGAGATTCCCTTTCACTGTGTATTTGCTTCTTGGTCTGCAACTCCGATTCTTGTTGCAAAATTAAACAAAAACAATGATTAATAAAATAAAGCCCCGCTTCAAAGGTGTATTTCGGTACACAGAAACACAAATATGGCTCTATTTAGGAAAGTGAAAGAATAGACTTATATGTTTTTTAAGTGTTTTTATTTATTTTTACCACAGCTATAACCCTCATGGCTAGATGCACCAGCGCATAGATATTCATAAACCAGTCCCAGATAAAAGTGCCACTGTCCTGCGAACCGTTTTTTTTTCTATGCAATGCAGTCAACAGAAGCTAAATTAACCATTGCTTACATATGAAGCAAGTACTTATCATTCATTAATCATTCCTCTTTTTTATATTTTTGAGAACCGTTGGGGTGAAAATAAAAGCAGGAATCTAAACTGTCAACATGAGAGTACCGAGCTCACGTGAGTTCGTGGCAGGAACTTACTTTGCTCCATAGACAGACATGCCGATTATGTTATAAAGCATGTACATAAAAGGAGCTCTCGAATCCACTACATTGGGTCCCTCCTTCAACGAATCCACGTAAGCATCCACGACCTCGCAGCAAAGGTTCTCCAACGAGTCACTGACGGCGTACTTCCTGCGAAGAATACCAATAGAAATCAATGTATTCATACATGTTCCTACACTCCAAATGACTACAAATAAGCAAGCACGTTAGATGACAGGTGCTATACATACTACACATATTGAAAAATATGCTTTTCTTAGTGTAAAGCATTCGTGCATGGCCCCTTTTACACCCAGCAATTTGATGTAGAGTTTCCATTCCCTATCCCACAGGCTTGTATATAGGCGTAGACTTCAAGAAAAGGGGGGGGGGGGGGGAGGCAGAGCCCCCCCCCCCCCTTCCCCCCTTCCCCTGGGCCCGGGCCATGATCTTTACCGAGACGCTGTTTACGTGCCATGTAACGAGCTTCTAGTAGTGACATGTAAACAAAATAACGCCCACGTTGCCTTTATTCACAAAATACATGGGAAATGGAATCCTAGCGTGCTTTTGTTAGCTTCAATCTTGGGTTCTGGAAAAAAAAAATAACGCGCAACGCCCCTCCCCCCCTTCCCCCCGCTCCCCACCCCCCCCCCCCCCCCCCTCCGGGAAAATGGAAAGACTACACCGCTGGGCTTGTACATTTGTATCTGTTTAAGCTAACAGAAACATTGAAAATATTACGGCGGTGATGCTGAAGCCGTTGAAACACGATGACATGCAATTCCAACAAATAAAAATTTGTATCCAATGGCAATAGATAAAAGAGGAGGTGTATATTAAAGAGGAAAATAAATAATTTGCACTATTGTTATAGCAAATCACACTTTTGCCACAGCACTCGATATTTAATAGCCACACCTCAATGGCTCAACTTCGCAATATATATATGTTCAGGAGAGCAACCTTTCATTTACCTACCAGCAGGTCGCTAACATGAGTTTTACCATATGCACTGGCCTACAAGCCTGTCAAAATTAACATTATCTGACGTTGCGAATTAACAGGCCTACGGCGTGAGGCAAATTAATCGTTGGCCTTTTGAAGGAACAACAGATACTGGTTTCTTAACGTACCCAGCTAAGATTGTGCAGAGGTGGCTGAATATGGTGCATTTTGTTATCAAATTTTTTAACAATAAACATATGTAAGTGCAAAATTAAAAAAAAAAAGAAGATCCTGATTTTGTTATTTACGTGACCCTCTACAAATGAAGACGTCTGGATGAGGCCAATCATGGCGGTAGCTCTTGATTTATAAGGAAAACTAGTGCAACAAAAATATTGATTAATATTGTTTTGTGGCCAGTCAGTGTGTAATAATCATGAAAATAACAGTCACGCACTGCATTGAAAATTCATTCTCCGCATGCGACTCAAAATATCGTCTGCTATTGGAGATCAGTTTTTGCGCATTTGCTCTCTCAACTTCCTCTATTTGTCGGCTCTTATGACAATAAGACTTTTTTTTTTGGCCGACAGATACTACAAAACGGGAAATTAGCATCATCATCCTTTTTTTTTATTTTTTACTCAAGTAATTTCGTTCTTTGCAATAATGAAATAGAAAATGCACCATCTCCCAGCTTTGTACAGAATCTATGGCGAAGCGTCAATGAACCAATTTATGATATCCATTTGAAGGACCATATGCCATCCATTTTAATCACGCGCTGGTAATCTCGCTTACCTTACGGCGGTCAGTGCCAACTTGCGCAGGGTTTTCCAGGTTGGATTATAGTCCTCAAACATAATGTTGTGGTTTCCTTGTCTCTGGAGTTCCGCTTGAAAAGACAGAACGCAACTTTGAACACTTTTCTTTTCGCGTTTACTTCTCCTCTGTGATGGGGGAAGTGGAAACACTTTAAAATGTTAAGGCTCGAGGTATTTTCAATAACGCGAAAAAGTCACAATAATGATAGCAAAAGTAAACTTGTAGTCTGCTTAGAGCAGTAATTTGGTTGAATAGAATTAGAAGATTAGCCTAAGAACTCCTATATTATACCAAAAAAACAATCCTGTTTCTGCTGCTCAACGATAGATACTTTTGTTCCAATAATAAACAAGAAGACAAAATACTTTTTCTTAATTTAAATTGAGCATTGTATGTAGTTCGTCTTTTCAACATTTGCTAGAGTTTACGTTTTCGTTTGATAATTTAATTTACGTGAGTTCTGCAATGCCCGCAATGATAAGGTTGTTGAATGTCAAATAGAAAACGAAATAAAATATAATATATAATTCAGTGAAGTGATACGGATGTCAGGCATCGTTATTAAGAAACTGTAAATGCCGTTATTTCTGAAAACCCCATCATAAGAGCCCTTCGGAACACCAAATAAACAGTGATCGACTAACTATACTCTACGAAAACTTTTCTCGGCATTTCCGGGGAGAGGAGGAGAGCCCGCGCACAGCTTTATTCAGCGCTCAAAATGGGAGAGGGAACGCGTGTCTCTAGCTTCCACTGCATTGCCAAGAAAGGTTGTCGCGGAGTATAGCGCAACTTTAAGGAGTTTTACCAAGAGACAGTTTTTTTTTGTCAATGAAGAGCGTAGATTAAATGTGTTTGGACATACTCATAACTCATAAAAGGTTTATATTTTTTTATTTCTAATATAGGAGAAAATCATCTGATGACTAAAAGTAAATGTCCAACTAAGCCCTAACTTTCCGAAACCCAACGTTTTGAGGTATTCTCAGAGTTAGGTGTGCCAATGGCCATGGCCGTTCAGGAGCAATTTTTACTTATTTATTTTGCAAAAAATGGTGCTTTTTTGCTCTTGATATCGGGAAGGTCTTTGACGTAGGCGCGCTTGATAAAAAAAGGCTCGAAGACATATTGATATTTTTGGCTTGATTTGGATGCTGTGTTGTAGTTGATCATGTGGTTCATCGAAGCCTTTGTCTGAAACGCCTGGTTCATGCGCCCGGCGACACAAGATCCTTAAGCCTTTGACTAAATAAAGCCCAAACTCGCAAGTGCCAAGTCACATTGAAAAAAAATCAATATAAGGAACCCTTTTTCAGAAGTTGGCAGCTACGTCACCGCATCCTTATATCCGTCGAAATGAAATGTCATAGCTTGCTCGGCAAAACCAAAATATCGCCCCTAAAAATATATCCCAAGGTGTTATCTATTAGATTCCCGGCACACATTTTTCAGCCACATACTTCGGCCAAACAAAGAACTCGTAAGAGAGGATCCGCCAACATCAAAACGACGACCGTGACTTCGACTTAGAACGAACAAAGCGCGGTCTCCGTAGACCGCGACGTTGAGGAGCACCGTCTGTACTTCTAAACACCTGCATTATTGATGTTGAAACTGATCCATGACAGGGACTTTGCTTGAAGTTTTGGAATGTTTAAACCACACTAGAATATACCAATAGGTCCCTCTGCGCTTTACCATAAGCAGCGGCGTCTAACTGACGCGAAGAGAAAAACATCGACGTAAAAGACAAAAAAAAAAGAGACAACAAAAATAACGTGTTTTACAAGGGCTCTATATGTAGTCCCCAACGAAGAAGAGGCGTATAGGCCTTGAAACGTTTCCACCGTTGGAATTATGGCCGGGTTTGACATTTATTTGGAATTATTGTCCCCTAAACCGGACAGAGATATGTCAAATGGTTTGGCTCTAATGGTTCTATACAAATAAGCCGAGATTTCTTTAGCACTAACATGTGCTACGCTAGGGGTATATAGATCATACTCAATACTCTGCCAACTGTTAATTAATATGGTGCAAGCACCGCCCTGGTATCCCTTCGTGTTATTGAGAGTCTGGATATTTAGAAGCGTTGTTAAGTAGCTGGGTTCACATAGGCGTCTCGGTAGCGTGGTAGTAGTGAGAGAAATTGCTGCCTTACTGGGCGCCCTTCGCCCCCTTCCTCCTGTCCTCGTCGTTTAATATAAGCATAAACTTCAATATAAATATATATAAAATGATATATACCGTTTAATCCAATATAGATATGTATAAGATGATATATCCCGTTTATTGCAATATAGATATATCTATAAAATATATCGAGGACGATGGTTCTTTATAGTTCTCGTGGCTGGACAGAATGCGCAGAATGAAACCTAATTATAACTACAACGCTTATAAAGAAACATTTTAAACGTCTTGAATTACCTCGAATAGTTGTACGAAGGTATGTCGTGTTCAATGGTAAATAATTATTGAGTGCGAATAACTCACCCATTTTGGTTGAAAAACGTCCAGCAAACTCGTGTCTCCTTTCAATGAACGCTTCCTTCACAAGTTTGTGTGTGTTGAGCACAACCATTGGCTTCTCACCCATCCACAGAGTGATTGGGTCTCCAAATTTCTGAGACCAGTTGTTGGCAGCCTTGTAAAGCTCTTTGGTGTTCCTGAGTTCTAAAGGAAACGAGACATTGTATAGGGCGTTCTACTAAGGAACAGTTGGACGCAGTGTTCTCAGTGAACTTCTCCGTAGTTGTTTAAGGAGTTGGTTCAGGGTAAAATTGGCATTAAGAAGAGAAAGATACCTTCACCTATCGCAATTACAATGACCGAATCATGCTTATGTGTTAAAGGATTCCCCTGCAGAAGCAAGATATTTCAGAATTAATTGCCCTCCGCCCAGGTAACAAAACAGGATTGCAGCAAACTGACAGTGTTTCTGGCTAGCATTGCACCGAATGAATTTTATATTTAGCATTGTCCCTGTAGCGTTTCTGGTATATTTGTAAAATGTTTGAACTGGCTGCCAAATATATGCTCGGTGTTGTTAAATTCAACATGTTTTATGGCGTAGGGATTGTTGTATAGTGATCGTATTTTCCATTCATTTTTGTTTATCAAACCATACAGGTATGGGGACAATCTTGGTTTCTGCGCTATATGCATGTTTTCCATTGTCGGACGTCACATTTTGTTAATACATATGTAAATATGAAACTTTTTTTTTCAAGGCATGTTTTTGTTTTTACGTCTTGTATTTTCTATTGTTTGAGCTCTTGCACGTATGCACTGGTGCACCCTCCTGTAAGCCCACGCAGGCTGTTAAAGGAAATTCAAATTACAAAATAAATAAATAAACAAGTATATATACATATATAAATAAATATTTCTGCGTTTTGCATAACTATTTCTGCTTCAACTTCCCACTTTATTTAACACCCCCCCCCCCTGCCCCCTTACTGTAACGCGTCATTGTCTCGAATAAGTAATTAAATTAACAAGTTTATGCCAACTGAGATGATTATATACTCTGTTAGCCTCTAACGCTAAAGCATTGCGCAAAAAACAAAACAAAAACAAACCACGGCTTTTGTTTGCTTTGGCAGGTGTGCCCGTTTTCGAAACCTCTGATCGTAGGGATATAAGGAAACCAAACAGCATGTGCGCATTGCGAGAGAAACGAAAGGCAAGACTACCGGTGCATATACTCTCCCGCGAAATCGTTACAAAGAGACTATCACCGCATTCTGCAGATTAAGGTCGAGGTATGGTTATGCTGAATATAGTTTACAAATGAAAACTAAGGTTCGATTTTACACCAACTTAAAAACAAGCATCTAAAATACCACACACATTGCAAGCCGCAAACGTTTTTTCTTCTTCCTTATTTTTTTTTTTTTTTTTTTGCTAGTAAATCGTGTTTCTGGCGTTTAAAATTTTCAAGCTATCTTCCGCAGGAAGCAGTAATTGGCTCTGCAAATGCTCTGCGAAAAGGGTGACTCATATTCGTTCTAAGAGAGTATAGCAGTTATTGTAATTGCGTACTTTGTGCACTCATTATTTAAAAATGAACAGTCGACGTTTAGTGACAAAGACAAAAAAAAAGCTAGTTAAATTCTTTTTCTTAAAAAAGATAGAGCACAAATTGTTTTCAATTCAAAGTTGTTGTGGAATTCGCACACACTAGAAAAAAAATACTAACGCCAAGTTTGTTAAACGAAGCTGCAAGCACGAAGCTGCAAACACTATATAGCCTTACATACACCAGTCTGTTTATTGTAGCCACTATTATGCCTGTCAAATTTCTGATGGCGGAACAAAATAGTAATGTCACTCACTGATAAATCTCGTTCCTCAAAGCAGCACAAATAAGCTTCGTATGCTGAAAGTTGTACATGGGCGGTTTCATTTGGATTCAGGCAACGAGGGGCAGTCGAATTTTTTATTTTCCAACAAATTTTTATATTTTGTGGCGTATGTTCCAAGAAGAACAATCCTTTTTATTTTAATGTCCTGACGTATTTAGTTTCTAAAAACAAAAATCGCAAAGAAGCGGGAAAGAACGACGAGGTTTTGACGATTGTCGTTTCTCGCGTTTTTGAATTACTCTCAATCTCAAAGTCTTCAAAATAGAGCATCTATATTTTTTGTGTGTGTGATATATATATGCAAGTACGTAAGACGACATTATAACTACTATTTATTATTCGTTGATCTAATTTTTTGTAAAAATACCCAAACTGTGACCTAAACTGCGGATTATTTTTTAGTCGACTATGTCTAGTTTTGTTTTTAAAATAATACCACGTGCAGAACCTTTTATTGCCTTCCACATTATGTACAGTTTGTGTCTTAATCTCGTACGAGTTTTGAGAAATAAATTCTGAAACAAAGAAGGTTTTTCACTTTTCGTTCAATTTCAGCACACTGGCTAAAAAAAAAAAAACATTTTCAATATTTTTGTCGCGTTTTTTTATACCCTTTTTTACCCAGAATACATTCCGTTAGAGGTGTATGTACTGGTTTTGAGTATTAAGCCTCTAAATATGCTTAAAATGATTCTGTTCTGTTGTCAACATGAATTTTGTATTAAAAATATAAAATTTCGCATTAAAAATATAAAATTTCGCATTTAAAAATTTAGGTTTCCACTAGGAAGTGTATTTTTACTCTAATGTTTTACAATATTATATTTTGATATTTCTAACGTAGCATCGATTATGTAGCACATAGGGCTTAGGTTTGAGGCCTCTGCAATCATGGCACCGGCGGAAATTGTTTGAAAACCCGCTTTCGGCAGTTGCGATTTTATAGTGTTTAGACGTTTGGAATTGCAAACTTGTTATTATACGCCTAACGACATTAATGTCTTTTATATTAGTATTTATTCAGCGTCCCTTAGATTATTATAACAAACAAGAAAATATACAGCTTTAACCCATAAACCTACCATCAGAATATTTTTAGCATATTTAGAGGCTTAAAACTCAAAACTAGTGCACATACCTCTAACGGAATGTATGCTGACCAAAAAAAAAAAAAAAAAACAAAAAAAACAACGTGTTAAAAAAACGCGACGTAAAAACAAAAAAAATTTTTTTTTTTTACACTGTGCTGAAATTGAACAAAAAGTGAAAACCTTTTTTGTTTCATAATTTATTTCTCAGTGCTCGTACGTGATTAAGACACAAACTTTACATAATGTGGAAGGCAAGGAAAAGTTCTACACGTGGTATTATTTTAAAAACCAAACTAAACATAGTCGACTAAAAAAAAGATCCGCAGTTTAGGTTACAGTAATTCACGGAGGCATGTCTGGGGATTTTTACAAAAGAGTAGATCAACGAATAATAAATAGTAGTTGGAATGTCGTTTTACCGACTTGCCTATATATCACACTAAAAAAATATACAAGCTCTCTTTTGAATATTTTCAGATTGAGAGTGATTCAAAAATGCGACACGCGACAATCGTCAAAACCTCGTCGTTCTTCCCCGCTTCTTTGAGATTTCTTTTTTCTCAGAAACTAAACATGTCAGGACATTAAAATAAAAAGGATTCTTTTTCTTGGAACATGCGCCACGGTATATAAAAATTTGAAGCCAAATAAAAAATACGACTGCCCCTCGTTGCCTGAATCCAAATGAAACCGCCCACATCTATAGATAATGTGGTACAAGCTACCATTCGTGACAATAGATGCAGCGGCAATTCACCCGAATAGTAATATACTGTATAAATGAGAAAATACTTCTTGCCTAATAACACGTGCCCTAATTTTTGGTGCCATATATAAGCTATCAATCTTTATCGTACACAACCTACCGACGGAGCTGTTTGGGCGTCCTGATAACACATCTCTTGACTGCACCAGATACGCTATGACAAACGATCGCTGAAGTCCTCACCCAGAAGATTTCCGACGACAGGCAGCGGGAATGGGCCTTTCGGGTACTTGGACACCTTGTGATAGAACCGCACCACGAGATAGGAGAGCAGGAAAACAAGGGCCGTCGTCAACCATCGCCAGTCCCAAAAGAAGAGTGCCTTCTCCGACAGAAAGCTCATGGCGTTACTGGTTCACCTTAGCAAGAAGGTAGAGGGGGAAGGTGCGAGATACAAGATCTAAATGCATTTTAAATACTGCGTCTGCTCTGGCATCAACCCATATGACAAAGTGCGATCATGTGTCCTCAACTAATGTATGGAAAAAAGGGAAAAAATATTCACCAAATGGTATGTAAAATAAACACATTTGAAAAACATTTGTTTTGGGCATTTATTATTTAAATTTATGTACAAATGAGTTTTCCAGATTAAAAAGTCTGGAGCTTCTAGACTCCCGCAAAGCACTTGAGACGGCCAATCGCTGCAGTCTACGAAGGGTGTTCGGCCAATGGCGGGGCTGATACGTTTCAATAAGCGAAAACCTCTGCGCTGTTTCACTGAGCCTGACGTTTCAGCAAGCATGCTCGGTGCCACAGCACAGATTGTGTTTTTGGAGTCTTTGTAAGCACCGTTATACGCCGATCGCTCTACGTAGATTGCAGAGCAATTGACATTCCCAAGTTGCGGATGATGCGGATTTTTTAAGATGCGTATATAAAATTCGAGCCGATCGACAGACAATGTTTATCAGCACAAATGAAACAAACGTATTGCTCTGAAGATGAGGTTAAATGCGTCTGAACCTAAAAAATACGCATGTTTTACAATGCATTTTGTTTGCAGGATACAGTCACGCAATCTCAGACATCATGATTAGCTGCACAGAAGTGGCTCGAATCGACCAACGTCAATTCGAGCCACTTTGTCGATTTGCTGCAATTTTCTGTCGAACAATATATCGTATAGGTTGGGTACCGGGAATTATGAGAAAAATGAAGATGTTCGGTTTATTTTGGTGGAACCTTCCAGGGACCAAAAATAATAGCGGAAGCTGAAAATCGCCAGTCACAATTGTGGCAAAAAAGTTTAAAAAATACAGAAAGCCAACAAACAAAATTTGAGAAATCAAAATGATATCATAAAGAATAATTTAAAAAAAAACTAAGATTGCTACAGTTGTTTTCTGATATTATCAGACGAGTCAAACAGCGTTGCCATTATGATTGTGTCAGCGTTTCCAGAAGAGAGCAGAGAGGTAGCTACGTAACGATCATTTTTGGCATAGGCACGAGTATTTGAAAGTTGAGAAGGTATATGTTTGTGGGCATTCTGAATTATTATTGGGAATATTTAAGAACATTTTACGAGTAATGGTAAAGAAACTTGGCTTGGGATTGTGCATCGAATGTGTTTAGACTCTTTGCAAACTAATTTATCCTTGTGAATAAATAGTTTTCATGGAGTCTATTTTACTAAACTCTACGCAAATTATGTTTCTTCTTACAGATAGTAAATCCGTAAACAAATAAAAAAGTTTGTTTTCTGAATATTTTAGCGTTCAATTAGTCTGCCGGCATGAAACGACAGACTGGGCTCACCCCTGACGGGGTGTAATCTGTCATTGTAGCCGAGAATACCTTGTCGGTTACCAAGGGTGAATCCGTCTCGTTCAATTTGAATTGCAGTGGCCGATAAACAATGATATACGACATTTCTTTATTTTATTTGACATCCTGAATAATTCAGTTAAAACACTATCGTTCGGTTTATTGAACTTCTTTACAAAATACATTTGCCAATGTTTGTGGTGGTGATTTAACGCCAAAGAGGCGATAGCACGCTATGAAGGGCAAAAACGTAGTGCTATCCCAGATGTATATTAGCGTTCGTGCCTTTCTGCATTTGTATTGTTAAAACCTTTTTCATTTATTCTACAAGAGTATTATACTCCGGATGCTTTGTTTTTCAATTTTCTTTCAGTATTAGTATCTTAGCTGTCATTTCTAATGTACCCTAGTCTTTTCATTATCAAATCAAATTAATTATTTTCTCATGTTATTGTCTTCAACAGACGTCCTAGAATAACGACGACAATTGAGCACATTGCGTGTGCTACAGCGCATCGATAGTTAGGAGCTAAGACGAAAATTTGAGTACGCAAAATGAAAGCATTTCAAAGCTGAAAAATAAATCGTCTCAGATATAAGTAAAACTAAGTTTTTTTTTTGCATAACATTCACATATTTTGCTTAATGCACGTTTTCTTGATATATGTCTCACACGAAATATTTTTACGCGTAGTTTATATAAGTGGTCTTAACAACCGCTAGGATAAATACTAAAAATATAGTGTAAAGCAATGAACGTACCCACTCCTCACATTCGTAAAGCAATTACGGTGGCACGCGACCTATTAACCAGTGAAACATATCTTGTTTCATGTACAGGGTGTCCCTCCCCAAAGAGATCTACAAGGTTTTCTTCACCGCAAACATGAAGTACGTATTGTGTAACGCTCATTTTCTGCTCCAATTTATAGCTCTAGTGGTATGAACCCAGATGCCAAAGCTAAAAAATGAACCCTTTGCGTCTTCAAACGTTAAAGCATTTTTTTTTTTAAATATATTTTTAATGGAAAATTGTGGCGGACTTAGCTCTCGAATACACGTACATGGAACTGAATTGCGCCAGTTACTGAAAATGGGCGAAAACGTTATCTAGTTTCCAACTGAAATGTTCAGAAAATCACGTAACTTTTTAGTGAGATAACGGTTAGTACTAAAACTGGCGCCTGGTTCAGATCGCTGGAGCAAGATTGGAAAGAAAAATAAGCCTTCGACGATGGGTAGCTTACATTTGCGGTAAAAGAAAAAAAACTGTAAATGTTTGTTTGTTTGGAACACGTTGTGCATTTAATCACGAAGAATGGGCTTTCGCCTCCTGCAGGCTGTCGTCAACAAAATTCCCATAAAATAGCTGCCATTACAGCCAATCACGAGGGTTCGTACTCAATAGTCAGTTACGAGCACCCGCACTCCCGCTGGTAAACAATAATGACGCCAAAGAACGCAGTACTCACGAATACAAAACAGGAACGTTGCGCGCACGCGCACGCGCGTGGATGGACCGCTCTTGCGTCCAAGACCTTGCTTCCAAAGTCGATGACGCGCCCCCAACCTATGCCCCAACGAAACAACGGCACCAGAAATTGGATTGCGAAGCTCAAACGCACACACGCGGACCCCAACGACAGTCGTCCGTGACCTTGGATAACGTTCACGCGCGACGGAGAGACTGATCTAGCGCAAGTCTTCGGCAAGAGACAAGTGGTTTGGCTGATTGTTGACCTTACCAATAATCGCCTGCTGCGCGCTGCCCATCTTTTCCTACTGGGCGGTTGAACGAGCTCTCGGCGTGCGCAGTAGCTCTCTTTCACAAAATATAAGGTGCGCCGCGCGTGCATACACGACCCAGCATTGCGCCGCATTTTTCGCCCGGGTAATAAGCGCTGCAAAAGTCTGCAACGTGCGCGTTATTTATGACTGCGTACGTTGTGACCGAAACGACCGAAACGACCGCTCTGCGCCGCGCGTACACGCTCCTGCAAACACCAAGGCAAACACTGCAACAAGCGCAGCGGGTCGTCGGAACGGCGACCGCTTCTCCGCCGCCATCAGCTGTTTCAGCGGCGCCTCTATAAAGAAGGGGATGCGCTGCCACTCGCGTAACAGAAAATAGACAGAGCGTTTTCTATAACCTCAAGCTTTATTATTTTTTTCAGTATCGGCTTGCTAAATAAAGTATATATATATATATATATATATATATATATATATATATATATATATATATATATATATATATATATATATATATATATATATAACGGGCATGGTGGCGGGAGGCCGAAGGCGTGGGTATAAAACTGAGAAGAAAAAAACCCTTAGTGAAAAACAGCAACAACGGACGATTTAATCTTCTACGTTTCGGCCGGAGTCCGGCCTTCGTCAGCAAGACGAAGGCCGGACTATATATATATATATATATATATATATATATAGAAATAAAGAAAAACATGCAGTACACCGTCTTAGACGATCACAACTTTAACACTCGACTGCCGATAGCACAAACCTTGCCACACGCTTTTTCTACGATTACACAAGGCGATGTAACCTTAGCAGCGATATAGCAACGTAGAAATATCATCTCGTGATCACATAGATGTTGCGAGCGTTCAGGAATGCTAACACTAATCACTTTTCTCGGGTGATGAAACTGGGTCGAAATTCGCACCTTTCGTATACATGCCTTTAAATACAGTACGCACCAGTTATACCTTGAACTTGAGCAAAAGCACGGAATGCGCGGAATAGAGATTCGGCCGATGTTCGAGGACACAAATGCAAAGAAAGCTCCACTGTAGTGGAAGTAAACAAACAACACGACGGCACAAGCGTTTCCGCTGTCTTGAGGGTGCCGGCAGAACATCGCCGCAGCACGAGTAGGTGGATTCTCCCCTTCTAGGACGTGCTGGGTTATCATCGCTACACACGACGAGAATTCCCAGTCAAGGAAAGCGCTCTACGCGGACGGACGAGCTTCCACCACGCCGACCACGTCGACGATCACCACCGACGCCATACCGTGACCCACATGCAACACGCGCGGCCGAGCTCTCCTCGACCTGTGATTGGTCTGTCGGTGCGGTAACATAGATACAAATAACATAGATACACCGTAACATAGATACAAATAGCGTGTTCTACAGGAAGAAAAAATACCAACACAAAGCATTATCGTCAAGCTTTTCTTTTACCTTCAGAAGCGCCGAACAGCTCCCTTTTTCTCTGAATCTTTCCTAACAAATGAATACTCCATTACGATGTTTGGAGCAGTAGTGGAACCACACTTCTTAAGGCCCGTTCACACTCATGCGACCGAGTACGACTGAGAGAGACGAGATCTCTTACAACTTCTTAAATGTTTCTAGAATGAGGGAACACACTGACATTGTGGCGCCATCTATGCGGTGACCCTAGAACTGCATTTCACAAAAGCGAAGATTTTGCGGGATTTCCGATGTCGAATGTGGGTAATATCCATAGAAAGGCTCGTTTATAACATTGACAAAAGCTTTTCGAGCCAAAAAAGAAAGGATATTGCGCGAGAAATAGAAAAAAAATATGCCGGACCGCCGAGTTTACACTGCTTCCCAATAGATGGCGCCAGTGTGTTCTCTGGTTTAAGAAGTTTTAAGGAACCCAGGTTTAAGAGGTTGCAAGCAGTCGCAAGAGTGTGAACGGGCCTTTATTCGTAGGGTGCACTATGTTCGACCCGGGGGGGGGGGGGGGGGGGGGTGGTCTATGCAAGACAGCGGGACGAGCGGACTGGGACACCGCCGCCTGCTGCGATTGGTCAGCGAAACGCCGCTGACCAATCTCAGCTGGCGGCGATGTCCAGGTCCGTTCGTCCCGGCCGTCTTGCATAGCCCCCCTGACTACAATGCCATTCTATCTATCGCGTAGTATCAGACAACATAAAAGAATTCTGAGCAAAGTGCGATGACAAAACCGGAAGTGATTTTCCCTGAATTCTGTATTAACAAAATCTCTTTGCACTCCGTTCCCCTCTCAACCCGCCCTACCATCTTGGCTTTGTTTCTTGCTCCACCGGGCTCTCTATCAAGCATAAAGCTCCTTATGCAATTAATTTCCCAGCCTCCTAAATACCTATTGTTCAGCGCACAATGTTTCCCCTCGCTCGAGATTAAAGTTCGATCGTGCTTTCAGCTTTCGGCACGGTAACGTTCTGCAGCTTCCCCAGCACCATAATGATCGCTAAGACAAAACGCAATTAAGCGAGAGAACGGCGAAGACGTTCCATGGCGGCTCTTCGCGTACACCGAACCTTTTTATATTTCTCCGCCATAACTTGGAAATACGTGTGTACACAGAACCGAATTACCTCCCAACGGATTCTTCGTCTCGTAAATGAACGTTCCCGGGGGACAAAACTTGGAAGGGCGCTAGATCTATAATCCCCTCGGCGGTTCTGCGAGAGTGGCGCGTTTCGCAAAGGTCGAGTTTGTTCTAGGGATTAGTCCGGCTGTATGGACGGGCGTTAGGCATAGACGACGTGAGGTTAAGTCGTACTTTAGGCTTAGCTCGAGCACTAAGCTAGGCCTAACGTGTCCTCCTCCCGGGCCGCCCTTTACATTGCCATCTCCAGGTTGGGGAAACGAAACGACGTGAGTTTTTGAAGGACGTTCAAGAGAGAGTTTAGCCAACACCACCTATAGAATAATCGGAGCCCGTGCACTAACATTTCGACGTCATTGCAGGGAGATCGAGAGCAGACGCGTGCAGATTAGAGTGCTGCCTCAACGATCGGTTGGCCCTGGTGTCCAGTCAAATACGTCGAAGGACGCCCCATTCGGGCCCAATAGCTGAGTTAGCGTTAGACGATTGCCATGACGTCACGTGCATGTTGAAGAGGCTTTTCACAGGCTTTCATGATACTGCAGCTGGTGGTAGGTTAATACTCAGCAGACTCTCCGCCTCCAGCGTGCACGATGCTCATGTGCATCCAGACGGAAACGGGCAGGCGTAAATATTTGTGTTGTGTGCATGTTTATGCCGCCGGAAGTTGGCCTGCCCTCAACGAGCGATTTGTCTCTAAGCTACAGATGACCAATTCAGCCAGTGCGTTACAACCGCTAGCTTGGGGTCTTTAACGTGCATTGCACAAGTAGTGATGCACGATGCTCATCCAGATCGAAACGGGCAGGGGTGGGAATTGAGCCCAGGATCCCTGGGTTCTGCAGCACGAGCTTTCGGTCCAGCTGCGTGTGCGCTGCGGTGTGCCAACACGATCGGCCACTGATCCGCCATGCGAACGGGTTGGCGTGTATTTGTGCGTACATTAATAAATATATTCGGAGTTTTTTTTTTTTTTTTTTTTTTCACTCCCCATCTTGCGGTGTGCGGCAGCGAGGATATATCACACGACTAATTACTAAGGAGTCACATTTTGCTTTCCAGGATTGTAGATATTGGCCTTCTGCACATTTTTGCATGCCTGTGTACTTCCCTGTGTATGTGGGGGCCCTTAGCAAAAAGAGGCCGTACTTCAAACGAAGTTGAGATATATTTAGTACGAATATTCATTTTGTATTTATTCTGTATTATTTTAGCCGCATTCGAAATACGCGCGTAATGTATTCAAGATACATTATAAATATGAATCAAAAAATATTTTAGGTATACCAAAAATTTTATTCCTTCACACTCAAGATGCCATTTGTAAATAAAAACCGGTTACACAATTTTTTTTTTATTTTCGATTTTGTCAGCAAATGGTGTCCCTGTGGTATTTGAAGGCACTACTAAATAGGGGAGTCGCGAACCGGCCGCGGTTCGAGTTCGACCAGGTTCGACTTTTTCGAACTTTTGGTGGAAATTTCGACGAACCTTCTATTGAGGTTCGACTCGTGTGCGCATGCGCGACAGGCTGGCCAGTTGGCTTCGTATTGGATGATAATGGCTAAGAGATGAATTAAGTGCAGCGCTGATTGGTTATTTCAGTTAATACAGCACAAAACAATTAAGGTATTAACTTCTTCAGTGATTAGAATTGGTTTCTTTAATTGCAACTGTTCATAAATTTAAAGGTAACCCTTCGCATAAAAAAAATTTCTCCAAACTTAGACATGCTTTTATAAAGGTCTGGCCACACTGTCCACAAAGTCGAATCGGTCGAATTTGGTTAAAAGTTCGAAGGTTCGTCGAACCGGTTCGACCCAGTCGAACCCCGGAAGTTCGATCAAAATTTCTGGTTCGACAAAAGTTCGCGACACCCCTACTACTAAATACATCTCACAAAGCCACATTAGAAACGAACACAAACACAAACACCATGACGCACTGAGGAGCTCACTTTTTTTTTTTTTTTTTTCTTTATTGCCGTTTTTACAAGTCACTCACTGCGTACATGTCTGAGGTAGTAAAACAGCAGAAATGACAGTGTTACTTTCTACCAGCCGGCCTTTGGGCTAGTAGAATAAATTAAAATGATTTCAAATGCCTAACGGTTTCCGCACATTGAATCCAATCTGGCACGCAGCTCTGTGCCTTGTGTACTTCTACAATCAAGGCAAGACTCTCGCCGAAATATTCCCGAGCCTCACGCGCGTCGATATCGGCATGGCGCGTAGCCATCCGAGACCGCCAAATACTATGCAGGCCCAGTAACATAATCATATCAAAGGGCACGCCGTCCTCGTTTTCAACTGGAAGGTATCTAATTCCCTGCATGTCTAACGGAAAAT